ATTTCTGTATATTTAATATTTTGTTTTTGAAAAATATCTTAAGGCTCATTTTTATATTTTAATTGGACAATATCAAAGAACTGATTGGGCGCTGTGATTTAAGGTGGTACCACAATCATCTGATTTAAGAGCATGCATGTTCAAAATGTCATTTATTTAATAAATCAGTAAACCTGGAGCCCTGCAGCTTTTTGTTGTCGTTTCTCTACATTTGTCTTCTGCTGGTTTCGAGCCCGTTTTGGTGGACAGATGTACAATTTTCCAGTTTCTTTTACCTCCACTTAACTTAAATTTCTTCATTTATTTCTGGAAATTCAATAAAACCATGCTCATGCTCCTCCTGACCTCTTGGCCCTCTCCAGGTCGTCGTTGGCCTGCTCCAGCTCTCTGATGTATTTGTGAAGCTGGTCTCGGACGGCAGTGGTTTCAGCCAGGTCTCCCTCCAGGCTGGAGATCTGCCGACAGGCCTCAGAGTGCTGCGTCTCATACTTATCCTGGCAGGAGGGACGAAAATACAAGAAAAATACAGTCAGAGAGAGAATGAGAAGAAAAATAAAGACAGACCTCGGCGGCTGGAGTGGAGCAGAGCTTCAGGAACTCGGCTTAAACCTCAACAAATATTCAAGAGGATTGATTTCAGCTTTAAAAGCAGAAATAAATGAATAAACTTCTAGTAAAAACAAACCGTTTCAAGAATCAAATTCACCAGAGAACCTTTCAAATGCCTCACAAATGAAGAAACCACGACTGAAGGCATAATATTCAACCTTTATAAACCAATGTCAGACTTTAAGAGCTTTTTTCCTTCGTTTTCAATCCCGAGCTGTGTCAGAACCTTTGGTTTGTCAAGCTGCTTCACACCGACCTACGAATCATTCAAGCATAAAAGGCTCCAAAGCTAAAGCGACGAGTCAGTCAGACAATTTAGCAAAGAACCAAATTTCATTTGTATCTTCGGGCACTTGGTTGCACCCAGTCTGTCACAAAAACACTTCACATGTTCACATTTCTTTAGTCGAATCTTTTATGCCAGGTTGAAAGTTTGGGCTCAAATGTTTGATTCAGCAAAGTGTCGCCATGTTTCAGTTCTTCAAAGTCTGGTCCTTCGCTTACTCTACTGGAGTTATTTTGGCCTTGTGAGAAAATAAATAAATAAATTCTCATCGAGCACAGCAAAAATGCTTCCAAGATGAAGCCTTTTCTGTGCCGCGAGACCATCTGAACTCTGTCTCTTATTTCGTACACCTGGAAGGTTTTTTGTGGCAGGGTTCGCCTCCAGGACGTCAACATTTTCTCATATTTCTTGTGAACGACAGAGCAGCCAGTGTTCAGCATTTATTTCAAAACCTTAGTCATGAATCGTGCTGCATATTTAGATATTAATATAAAAAACAACATCTAAAAGTAAATTATTCTGCATTTCTCTCTCCAACGTTTTGGTGACACCACCGTCCCATCGATGCTGCTCACACAGGAAGCAACGCCGGAGCCGTCTGCACAGACGCTCCACAGAAGTCTGGGTCCAGCGTCAGGCTGCTGCGTTCTGTATGACGAGGAGAAAACGGCACCGTCATCATTACAAGCAAGCGTCAGGGTTGATGTTGGCTCTGAGCAGTGAGAGCAACAGCAGATACAGCTGTTAACCGTCTTATCACTGCAGCGTGTGGGGACAGTTCACCATCAAACACAATGCCATGACGTCATTTTCACTGTGCCTGGCACCGGGGGCGCGGCGCCCACCATGAACAAACTCTGCGCCATTGTCCCCTTTTTGCTTTTTAACCGAGCTCCTCAAAATGCCGGCGCACACCCGGCTCTGTGCACAGCAGCGGGACAAACTAATGAGATTTGTACCAAGGATCTTCTGGAGGTACTGCCATCCCCTCCAGACACAGATGGAGCGCAGGAGGCGTCAGCTGCCTCTCTCTGGCCTGAATCGACCCTCTGTGAGAGCGAAGAGCGCGCTGCTTACGCTGAGCAGCGGCTCCTCTTCACTGCAGGCAAACCGGAGCCAGAAAACCCGACTCGCAATCAGCTGAGCGATATGAAAATCCTCAAAGCCGCTTCAACGGTCAGTCGGCTGAATGCAAATTCAAAGACGGCTGAACACTTTAGTTCAAGTTTAGATACGGACTTGCGTCACAGAAGCTCCTTTCAGAGTTTCTGCAGGATCTTAAGACAACATTTATGCTTTTTAAACATCAAACACTGTGGAAAAATTAGCCATATATCTGAGCCTAATACAGGTTCGGTCACCAGTGCAATAACCCTTTCAACATTTACTTTGTGTGAATAAAGTAAACAGAAAACTGAGGAAAGACAGTGAATTGAACAGAACTGTCTCATTTATGGTTTTCACTACTTTTCCTTTATAAATTATGAAACTGACTCCTATAGCATGGCAGCTCAGAGTAAAGCTGCTGCTATTCCACATCAAGATGAGCCAGGTGAGGTGGTGCAGGTATTTGATGAGGTGGAGATTCTCTTCATTTTGCTTCGTCAAAGATTCTCATATTTGAAATCTGCCCATTATTTTTCTGTGTTTGAAGCGCTGCATTTCCTCAGCACATTAACATATTCACTTTGACTAAAAAATGATGTGCATGTCTGGAAAATAAGCAAATGATCCTGCAGCAACTACGTCACTATTTGTGGAGGAATTTTGAATCGAAAGGACTCTGAAAGCTAGTTGTTAATGTGAATCTCGGTGTACACGGCTCCAGATTTGCACTTTTTGCTGATTTTCCATCTCGTTCAGTTGCACGCTGGTAGCAGACTGACTGTCTTGTTGCTACAGTTACGCACCAAAGTCACTTTGAAGATTGTAAATGTCTGCAGCTGGTCGCAGACCTGCTTCCTGTGCTGAAGTTCATTGCACACAGTTGCAATAATTTTGGTCATGCTGTGGTCTCCCACCACCGTTTCCCCCACTGTGACTGTAGCTTTAGAGAACCAAAGGGAGTATCTTGAAAATCAGGGCTCTGTTGGAGGTCTTGTCTGCTGCTGAATGCTGGAAAGTTTCATTTCTCCATTGGTGGAGTCTCAGTTTTCAGTCTTGAGTTAGCTTGGAGAGCTGAGATGCAGAATACTGAGAACTCCTTGCGTCTCCCGTACCTTATAGTTTTCCAGTTCCATGCGCAGCCGGTTGTTGGCAGTCAGAAGCTCGCGGTTTCGCGTCTCATACTGCTTCAGCTCCGTCTCCAGCTCCACCTCGTAGTCCCGACTCATCTGCTGGAACTCCTGCAATTCCTCCTGAGCTTCCTCTGCACTGAAAACACAGAACATGCCCCGCATGTTTGTTACCGTTGGATATTTTCACTGCAAATCAATCCCAACTCATAAATGAATACAGCTCGGGTTGTGAGTTTGGTTCTTCCAGTGAAAACAATCAGACCAAGACGATGTTTAAGACAAAGATCTGGATCAATTTAAACCAGATGCAGCTGGACCCAACTTGACCAACATAACCACAGTCAGCATTATGGGAAGCTGTTTAACTGGGGGAGGGGGTACAAGCATGTTGGGATGCTGTGTAAAATAAAAATGAAAAGAAGGCCTTCATTTGCAGACCTCCCTAATTACAAATAAATGTTTAGTCTTTGACAAATCTATTTTCACTTTTCATTTGATTACAGCAACATGTGTCATGTATCAGTAAACTGCAAAAAGACCTGCATCAGCGATGGTCTGGCGGAGCATCAGTGCATGTTAGATTGGTAATATGAACATCTGTGAAGGCCCCACTAATGCTGAACGACATATGCCCTGAACCCTAACTCAGGCTGCAGAGAAACATACAACCTGTTATTATTTGTGTGTTGCTCAGACTCCAACACACAGCTCCAGATTAAAACAGCCCGGGTGCTAAACCATCCCGCCTGCAGTCTGAAAGCTCGTACTAGCAGGCAGCTTTAGGACCCAGGGACGCAGTATTACACATGCGGTTCACCACCATGGTAACTTACGCTCCAGACCTAACCTGCTTAGAAGCAAGAACACAAATCAACAGGTATGAAATCACTTTCTACTGGCCAATCAGCTCTCTGGAAATGTGCATCAGCATTGCTTGAAGACAAACAAGGCCTCAGCACCCAGATAGTAAGAGCGTCTGAAGTTTATAAGAGCACCAGTAACAAACAAAGATCCACTGAAGCAACGTCACTGCTGCTTTTCGTTCCATTATGTACGATTTAAAAACCATTTTATTGTTCTATGAGCCTAAACATGTAAACTTCAAACGGCGTTCTTACTTATTGATAACCCAAATTTGAATTTTGCTTTTGTGTTCTTTGCTTTCAGAGCGTTAAAAACTCCTAACGATGGAGCAGAAATGATACAAAATAAAAATACAGTGAGATTCACAGAAGACTTAACTTGTACAGTCATGCTTTTAGTCAGCTTTCCTTCTGGGCTTCAAATAAACTTTATGAACATAGCAACAGTTTTCCAGCCCGACTGAATAAACCTCGTAAAGCCAACTCTCATTCACACATGTCCACATGCCCTAAAAATCAGCTGCTGCCAGCAGACCTCTCAGTGTTTCTGCTTGGTCAGATGCTGCAAACCCTGCCTCGGCTATGCTGTTAGACCCCAGGTTGATTTATTTGTGGATGTTCGAGTGAAGCCAGATAAGGAAAAAATATCCGGGGTATGTTAAACGTGCTTTAGCGGCCCCTGACCGATCACCTGTCGAAAACATTTGGCACATTATGAAACAAAAACCTACGACAGCTGGAAGTGCTGAAATCCAATATCCACTGAGAACTGAGAAACATTTGGTTTTCTAAACACTCCGAGCGCTGATAAAAGAAGAACGTGATGCAACACAGTGATAAACATGTCTCACTCCCAACTATTTTTAAACACGCCACCAGCGGTGAATTTAACGTGAGATTAAGATACACATCCACTTCATTCTATATACATCTTAGGGTTTATAAATTAATAAAATTATAAGAAGATCACCAGGGGCCATACCTCTGTTGGTGCTTGGCAGCCTGCTCCTTCCAGTACTCCAGCTCTTCCTCCAGGGACCCAAACACTGGAGGCTCCCGGTCCCCCATCTCTAGGGCAGGCTCTTCTCTCACACACCAACACTAGTCTGTGGGCAATTTCAATAAAGAGCTGAACTACTGTTTGAAAGCGGCCAGTTAATCTTCATTGTTACACAGGCTTGTGAAAAAACAGGACCTGAAGTAGGAAATAAATTGAGATGATTCTTGTGAGTTTTCGCAATAATCCGGCACGAAAAGCAGAATTTATACAAAATAAATCTGAACTTTCAGAGTTTGCTCGTCGCAGCTATCCGTGGTGTAAGGGCGTGCTTGGAGAACATCGTTCAGTTTTAAGTGCAGTTTATCGAACACCTGAGTGTATGCCGAATTAAGGAGCATACCGTGTTGCGTCCAAGAACGTAATAATATTTCCAACTTCCACAAATAGTGTAAGCAATTGAAGTAATGTAAACGATTTTAAATGAAAAACTTACATGGAGTCTGGTCACACTGTGAGTGAGACCAAAAAAGGGAACTTAATGAGCATGCGTTACAGTAAGACTTGCATCAAAACCTAGAACTTAGTTTATCTTTTTTTTTAATACTAGTAACACATTCCTTTAGAGTCGTATTGGTTTTTAACTCGTATACAACAAAGTTAGATGACTGCAAACAAGCCACCGCTAGCCACCTAGTTGGGCTAACGGAGTTTAACCATTTAAATCCCCGCTGAGACTAACTACTCAGCTACTTACGCTCAACAGTTGTCTCCGTTCGACGACAAATTAACCAGATTGAACACTTCTCTAAATCTTCTCCATGTCTTCTTTAACTTGTGGCGCTTTGACGATGAAATTTCAAGCAGAATCGTTCAAACAAACCAATTTAACGGACTCGCCTTAAGTTGGAGAACCGCAAAGTTGCTGCTCTTTGGGAAGACGTCGAACAATACACTTTGCCATTCATATTGTCCAGACCAATCCACCAATCAGAGGTTACAACGGAGCCTCGTTGCCTCTCGCTATTGGTGAACTGTCTGTCAATCAAGGACTGGCAGGCGGGGTTTATAATTATTGTCCAATCACAGTAATGATATCAATGTAGAATGGGGGAATCTACCAAAAGGGATCTTAACAGTCCCAAGAGTCTAGACGTTTTTGATGGATTACCAGAGGATGCTGCCTTTAAGTGCTGTTGGAAATGTGTCGAAAAAACAAATATTAAAAAGTTCTAGAACATAGGCATGTAAAAGTTATTAACAAGACCATTATTATTTTTAATTGCAAAATAAAAACATATATAAATATATTTATGTTTATATTTATTTAATAATTTGTTTTTGTTTCATAAATAGCTGCCAGCCATAAAGAAAAGTGATAAATTCAGATTTTGTTTGTTTTTTGAAAGGGTGGTAAATTATTTTTGCAAAAAAGTTCAGGAAAGCTTTTATTTTAATTAACTGGTGGTTAATTTGGGGGGGCCGTCCAACTTAAAAAACCCCCGCCCAACAAAAGCCCGGGGTTGGAATGCAAAATGGTAAAAAGATGGCATTTAAATTATTTTTGTATTCTCTTGGAGTGCACCTTAAGTTTTCTTATTGTTAAAGAAAAAAGTACATTCATAAGAAATAATATTGTTTGGAGAAGATAATAATGTACCATCCATCCAGCATTTGTCCAAGGCATCCTGGTCAGATGTTGAGCCAATACTGAAGGATGCAGCTGTCACTTTTAGAAGATGCTTATTTCTGCTACTGGTATCTTGGTTCTTATTCTTTCAGTCACTACCAATAATGACGAGGATACTGGTGAGGTCACAAATGTAGCTCAGCTCAGAATCTGTAAAACAAAGGGCTGGTGTGACAGGACAGGATGGTAGTAACAGGGTGAGACAGAAGCCAAACAGCTAAAGGAAGATTCGTTCATTCTTATACTTTTTTGCAAATGTATATGTGCATGTTTTTTTGTTTTGTTTTTTAGTAGAGCTATTCATTTATTTATGACCTCATTATTTTGGCAGTGCTGGTCCCCCCTAGTTGCCTTTGCAGCTTCGGTCTCCCTTCATCTGTCTGCAGGCATCCCTGGCTCTGTGGCCAATTAGACCACAGGACGAGTGTTGTCACCAAGTACTTGCTCAAAAGAAACCTCAGGGTTTCTCATTGGAAATAAACCACTTGTTGTTTTCACATAACCAGACAAGGAGCTGTGTGATAAAGCTGAAACTGTGTGGATGTGTGATTTAAAAAGAGATCAAGAAGCATGTTAAATATTCAACTTCTTTGTCTGCTTACTTCAAGTTACTTTTATTTCTGCCAACCCAAATGTGAGTTTCAGCTTTTTAAAACAATTTTATAAAAACCAAAATCACTTTCCAACACTGGGTGGCAACAGAAGCTTCATCATGTGATCACTTTTTTACTGAGATGACGTCATTAATGGTTATTTATATTAACCATTGTGTTTTTTTTGTATCAGTTACTAAACCTGTGCTTAAATTTAGGTCCTCTGCAGCCGCCCCCTCACAGTCTGTCGCTTATGTTTCCCAGGGTTAGAAAAGAAGGGCACTTGGCAGCGTCCTTCACTCTGATTGGGTAATAATTTCACTTCCTGTTGATGGGGTCAGAGGTCGGAATGACTGGGTCAACTCTGTCCTTTTGCAAAGGGATTAAGGAGGCCTATCTGATCCTGGTTAATCCACCCGCACATCACTGGAGCATAAAGCTTTTATACACACACACACACACACACACACACACACACACACACACACACACACACACTGTACCCTTGCTTCATATCTGTGCTGCATGTTTTGAGTCCACACACTGACAGCAGATTATAAACATGAACATGTGACCGTCACTGACATTAGCGGCAGTCTGGTTAAAGTGATGCATCTGTTTCAAGAAATACTTTTATTTGCTTTTAGAATGAAATCTATTAAAAGACTGATGTCAGTACTGTGTGTTGGTAAAATCTAACTTATCTAAACTAACTTTACTTACTTATATTAGTATTAGTTGTCTGTGCTGAGCAGTAGAGTTGACTAAACTCATTTAAAGGTAATAATTTGTATTAAGAATACTTCCTCTGTGGTGAGAACAAAGACTCACTGGGCTGTTGATGTTTCACCTCAGATCTTTGATTTAGTCTTCACTTCACTATGATGTGTTTAGACGACCACGTTTGAGACTTCTGCAGTGATCAGTAACTTTAATAAATCCAGCTTTCCTGTTGTCTCTGCAGCGTATGGGTCACAGAAAACAGAGAACCCTGTCTCTGAATCGTAAATATTGTGTGCATGCTATAAAGTAAATATCCAGCCCATTTATAATGACGCTTTCTTAAGTCAGCATGAATTTCTTCACTATAATTTAGCTAAAATAATATTTAGCTGCCCTGCGACAGACTGGCGACCTGTCCAGGGTGGACCCCGCCTCTCGCCCTATGACAGCTGGGAAAGGCTCCAGCGCCCCTGAAAAGGATAAGCGGAAGCGAATGGATGGATGGATAATATTTAGCTCTTCCACTCTTGTTTACCGGTACATTAAGTGACTTATCCTGTTATGCACACTAAAAACAAAACAATGCATCAATCCTAATTTAAGGTTAGCTAATGTTTTAAGACTCTTTTTAAGAGTTTGTATTAAAGGTTTTATTTAAAGCCAGTCTGTCGATTTTTACAGGATAGCTCGATCTGGTTAGGAAAACAAAACAAAAACATAAACTTAGAGTGATTACTTAAGAGTCAAATCTTAGAGAATACTTAGCCTAAGTTAAAGTGTTTATTTAATCATTTTAGTTTTCATTTTTGAGCACTGCTGGGAAAAGACTTTGAGCATCAGATTCCAGAAACTGGCCTGAAACACCTCCTCATGGTGCTGCAGTATAAATAGACAGCGACTCTTTAAGATTCCTATATTTAACTGTTAACTGTGGGATGATTAACTGTTTTTCATTTAACTTATATAAAAAGTAAAACCTCTTATTGGACGATAAATTCTAGAAGAATTGGTGCGTATCCTCGTGAGAACCTCGTGAGATTCTAGTCGCTGAGGAAAAAAGTATCTTCCAGATTAACTTTTTTGTGATTTCCTACCCTTTTGGAGCTAAACAAGATCACCAAAACACATGAAATATCACTGGAAAGGCCACAATGTCCTCTTTTTAGCACATCAGTACTTAGTGGGGTTGCTCAAATAACTCAAAAGATAGAGACCTAAAAGAAATGTCCATTACAGAGGACATAAGTGAACAGGCTGGGTCTCAGGAGGGTGGAAACAACATTTACTCCACCCTGTGACCGTGCCGCTAACTGTGGTCTTTATCTGCTCCGGGAACCTGTTTAATGCTCAACAGTCCAACAGCCTCACTGTTCGTGGCTTAACTGGGACACAATTTTCCCATCGCATCTCATTCGAATCAGGACAATAACCCCGTCCACTGGAGACAACAGGAGAGAGCTGTTTGACCGGTTTATTGGTGTCAGGTTTACTCTGTGAACACGTGTCAAAAGGACGCACAAAGACGTGGCCTCGTTGTGAAAATATTAAAGTGATGGAACAACAGAACAGCTGAGGTCATCATAGCTGCTGTAAACTAGTCGCTGTAAGATCCTAGTGATAACTTTTATAAACCACTTTGCAAAATAAATGAACATTTGTTGAGGTTTAATGTTCTAAACATGGAAAACAGGATTTCTAGGTTTATCCACTGAAGGGCTGTTTTTCATTTGATACATGATCTCATCTGATAACACCAAAACCAAAAGTCTTACAGAATCAGTAAATCTAAACTCGTGTAACTCAGGTAAGTGATGTGAACACAGTAAGGTTTCTGGGCTGATGGCAAAATACAGAACAGTGACAAATTAAATAAAAACCAGTGAAACCTGCGAGGGAAGGCTCGCTGCCTCCTGCTTCATCCTGTGAAGGAACGCTTCCCTCTGCTGTTTCGGGGCCTAGCAGGGCGTTGGGATGAAGATGACATTCATCACTAGCTCTGGCCTTCACAGTCACATGATCTCAACCCAGCTGACCACAGGTGGGAGATTTTGGTTCAGCACTTTACTTTTCCTTTAATTTGTCACTCACCTGTATTGGATGGTTCAAGTAACAGAACAGGATTCAAATGTTGTAACTTCACATTTCAAACTACCAAACACAGCAGAAGTGGGATGCACTGACACGTATCCTGCTCTAATAACTTATAATGAGCCCTCTGGGTTCCCTCCAGGCCTTCAGTGAAGTAAAGTAACCTTCTAGTAATGGTCTAACTCTTCTTCTTGTGTATCTGTATTGATACAGATGTTTTCTGGTAACACCGCATCTCAGGAAACAGGACATCAGGTCAGTCGCTTCTTCTCCACATAAACGTGAGGTTTAGGTTACGTTTGCACGCTTGTAGGGGCAGGAAGGGAGGAGGTAAGGAGGAAACATCTGTAATTCTACTTGTGCATCAATCCATTTATGATCTTCCACCCATCCAAAGTTGTGTCCAACTAGCAGCAGGCTGCCCAGGCCAGGTGTTCTTAGACCAAATGAGCTATATAATCTCTCCAAGAAGGTCTAGGTCTAGGCCAGGGTCTCATCCCAGTTGGGTGTGTCCTGAAATCGGCCAAAAGGAGGTGCCCAGGACACATTCTACCTGGATGCCCAAACCATCTCAACTGCCTCCTTTAAAAAGGTCCCCACCACATTTCTAAGCCACCCGATGCAAGTAACTGACAGTCATCTATCTTTACTGTCTAACTGCTCACCTGCCTGCTCGATCCTTCATGTATATTTATTTTTAATATTACTTATCTAGAGGCATTAGCGGGTATTCTTTTAAATTCTCAAGTTTGATTTCTTTGACATTTACTGAGCACAATCACACAGAGTGAACCTTTCTGAGTTTTTATCCTGCAGATACGTCAGTGCATCCCAGCGCAGCTACGTTTTTAATTGTACATACACACATAAATATACAGCAACACACATCTTTCGTAGTATTGATTGTAACTGATGGCAGTCACCAGTCAGCCAAACACATCTGCAGACTTGTTGTCAACAGAAAAAGGCACGACTGGTATAAAGCAGAAATATCAGCCCTTGAAACTGGTCTCAGGAGCTCCGCTGAGCTGCAGGCTCAGATCAGATCAGGAACCAGTAGCCGTGGCTCGATATGTCAGATAAAACATCCCCGTTTATTTCAAGTGAAACCTGCGATGTTTGAAGTCGAGACGTCACCACAGCTGCAAACATCTGCTGTTCAGCTTTAGCCCTGCAGCTGCTTTAGTGCTGATTCATCACTGTTTGCTTCACTTTGGTCCAGAGCAAAAATAGACTATATTGCCAAAAGTGTTCACTCACCCATCCAGATCATTGAATTCAGGCGTTGCATCACTTCCATGAGCACAGGTGTGTACAGCCAAGCACCTAGACATGCAGACTGCTTCTACAAGCATTAGTGAGAGGATGAGTCGCTCTCAGGAGCTCGGTGAATTTCACCGTGGTACCGTGATAGGATGGCACCTGTGCAACAAGACCAGGCATGAAATATCCTCGCTACTAAATATTCCACAGTCAGCTGTTAGTGGTTTTATAAAAAAGAAACGTGGAAGTGAGTGAGAAAGAGAGCGACTCAGCTACAAAGAGGTAGACCGACCTGAAATCACAGGTCAGCGGATGCAGAGGTGCATAGTGAGCAGAGGTTGATCGCTGGTTTCCATGGCAACCAAGCCTTACATCACCAAGTGCAATGCAAAGGGTCAGATGCAGTGTGTAAAGCATCTAGAGCAGCAGAGATGTGTTCTCTGAAGTGATGAATCAAACTTCTCCATCTGGCAATCTGATGGACGAGTCTGGGTTTGGTGGTTGCCAGGACAACAGTACTTCTCTCACTGTATTGCGCCAAGTGTAAAGTTTGGTGGAGCGGGGATTATGGTGTGGGGTTGTTTTCAGGAGCTGAGCTTGGCCCTCAGTTCCAATGGAAGGAATTCTTCATGCTTCAGCATACCAAGACATTTTGGACATGTTCATGTTCCCAATGTTGTGGGAACAGTTTGGGGATGGCTCCTTCCTGTTCCAACATGACTGCACACCAGTGCACAAAGCAGGGTCCATAAAGACGTGAATGAGTCAGTTTGGTGTGGAAGAACTTGACTGGCCTGCAGAGTCCTGACCTCAACCTGATAAGAACATTTGGGGTGAATTAGAGCCGAGTCTGTGAGGCAGGCCTTCTCACCCAACATCAGTGTCTGACCTCACAAAGGTGCTTGTGGATGAATGGTCAAAGGAAGGAAGAAGAGCAAATACTTTTGGCAGTATAGTGCATCTCAGCAGCTTCTTGGTGTGTTTCTAAGCTCCCTGAGGTTGAATGGTGACGACCAGCAGCCTCATTTGACCCAAAAAAAGTCTCAGCTACACATTAAATAACCTGATCTAATGAGTTTAAATGAGCCTTCATGCTTGCCTGAGCAGGAACCAGTTTAATGACCTTGACCTTGACTCACAGTGTACTCGAAGTAAATATAATAACAAGTTTTCACACCGAATGAACCTTTGCAACGAGAAATGAAGGACAAGCTTCATGTTGTCGCTCGTGCACAGCTAAATCGTATGATTTACCATTGCTTTATATAAAGATGCAAAATAAGGGAGAGGGTTTGAAGAAAAGTGAGCAGAGCTGCGGGACTTTTACCTTTGGTTGCTCCAAAAAGATTAAAAATGCATGAAAAAGGACGGACGCTTACTGAACCCTGAGGCTGACCCTTGTGGATGTAACCGGACTGATCTAACCAAAACTGACTAAAGAGTTCTGGGTACCAGCTGGAGTACTGCATTAATGTGTAGCTTTAGAAGATTCTCCTGTAGCTGTGAGAGCCTTTAAATTGGTACGCAAACAACATCATATTTTCATAAATCCTAAAAACGTTCATCGCCATAAAAAGAATCAATAAAACACGCTGGACTCATAAACTTCCTTGACAGACTCCTGCCTGTCAATCAATGCCCTTAATTTAAAAACTCGCCTTCAAAATCCACATCAGTCAAACCTTGTGACAGACAGTGAGAGTATTCAGTGATTTTGCTTTCATTGGCTCCTCAGCTCTCATCGTGCTGGTTTAAGTGGAGGTAACGAACTCTCGGTCTTTCCTCCACGGCTCAACAACCTGAATGACTGAAGCGGCATCCTCTTCCACTCCTTCCTCCTCGCTTTAGTTTTCCCGTTGGGTCTTTTGCTTCTTCCGGGCCAGCCGGGCCTCACGCATCTCCTCCAGAGTTTTACGTGGGTCCATGATGAACGCGAAAGCCACTCCGGCCGTGCCATCGCCGTTCTGCCGAGAGAAGCACAGGAAGGTGGCCCAGAGGAAGGCGCAGCAGCCCATGAAGGCAGTCCGCATGTACAACGGCATCAGGACGAAGTTGAGGAACTAGAAAAGTAGAAGCAGAGAAGAGGACCATCATGGAAAAGGGTCTTCTGAGAGGTTTTCCTGTCAGTGGGGTGCACACTGTGATTCTGAATCTACACACTTCATATGAAAAAACAACAACATTTACCAGTAAATAATATCAGACAGCACAGCAGCAAAATCTCTGATTTTTAGTTCCACTCCTCTGAGATGTTTATTTTTCCTGACTTTAAACAAATAAAAATGAAAACAGGCTCACCTGCATGAATGGCCAGTACATGAGTCCAGTCTGAAAGAGAAAACAAGACACGATCAGAGTTTCCATCTCCATGCACACCTGAGAGGATCCCAGGGAGAGGCCAGGGATGAGTGTAGAACTGAGGCGAAGGTGCTGTGATTGGGATGCTTCCGTTCATTAAAACATCGCACACAGAGCTGCCAAACTGCACGCAGCAACATCTGTTGCTTTACTATTTAAAACATTAATCTCTATCAGGTCACTGTGGATCCTTCTAAGGTTAGAAAAGAGGACATATCTCACTCGCAGTTTCAATCCACTCACTTAACGCAGCTTGAAATGGAGAGTCAGCAGCAACGCCTGCACAACTGCACTTCAATTAGTGTGTGCAAATTATTACACTCCTTAGAGTATAATTTACACAAAGGTGATAAAGCAGAAAAGATCTGAATAAGACAGAGATAGAAGGGAGACACGCCAATCTCAGAAAAACAGTGAAGCATGGCCACCAAACATGGTTAGAGCTCAGCACTGAAGCTAAAAGACTGGGGTTAGAAAACGTTACATGAAAGAGAAGTTAGGTTTAGGTGTGCGTTACAAGTTAACAGAGGGGGAAGTGCAGCAGCAGCATCCTCCTCTGTCACACTGATCCTCTGCATCTCCTCCTTCACTACATCCATGAACCTCCTCTGAGGTCTTCCTCTTCTCCTCCTGCCTGGCAGCTCCATCATACTTTGTCCAGTAGATCCTCCCTCCCACCTCTGCACATACTCAGACCACCTCAGCCTCTCGAACTCTGAGCTGTCCCTCTGATGGACTGATTTCTAATGGTGCTCACTTTTGTTGTTTAGTGTGTGTGTGTGTGTGTGTGTGTGTGTGTGTGTGTGTGTGTGTGTGTGTGTGTGTGTGTGTGTTTAGTCACTGTTTTTCAAGATATTGTATTATGCAACTGTTGTCTGCGTGTGAGGATGGATGACTCACGACTGCAAGTACAAATAAAGCAACCCGAAGCTGTTTTACTGTAATCACAGCAACATGACACTATGAGTCACACTTGGCAGGACGTCAGCTCCTGAACGTCCTGAAACCCACTGACATTTTTATCCTCGGGCTGAATTACCCCGCGTGCTCTCCTCCGGGCGCCGAGCCCACTGCGCAAAAGCAGAAGTGCCGGTGGCGTAATCTACATTAATCCGGTTGTGAGCTGGCAGCGGCAGAAGCTACCGTGTGTGAAAGAAAGGCGACTTTCCTTCGTTTCGCGCCGCTGCTGAAGCGCTTCTCACCTTCCAGGTGTTGAAGAACTTCTCCCTCCAGTCCTCAAAGACGTCCTCCTTTCCCTCCAAGAAGCTCACCCCTGCGAAACAGAGAGCAGGTTTAAGGCACGGCTTGGGACGTGCGTCTTTGCGCACAAATGTAAAAACTATGGAACAAGACCTCACCTTGAACACTTTAGTATTTGACTGAGAGACAACCTTGACCGGAAACCACTTCACCTTCACACTCATTTAAGATGTTAGAGTCTCATTCACAAACTGACACTCTTTAGATTTTATAGTAATGGTTTGTCCCGATTGTCCAATTATCACTCATTATCAGCGTCATTCTGCGTCTGCGCTCTGGCTCCGATGGCTGGTTGACATTTATAGTTGGAAAAATTATCAATAACTCTCATATTTGATGTTCCGACCAAAGATAATATTTGCTGGCTTCAAACAAAAGCGCATTGAAGGGGGGTGTACTCACGCGCTTTGCTTTAACACGAAGCAAACTCTCAGTTCTGTAACCCTTAACGTGGATAAAATGAAAGATGCCCATCTTACCGGTGTAGAAGACACTGGTGGCCAAAGGCGACGCGAAGCTTTGGTCCAGCAGCAGTTTGCGGAAAACCATCCCGGCGGACTTTCCAGGGAAGCGCCTCTCCAGGGCGCGTAGCCAGAAGTAGTTAAAGTTTCCCTGGAAGCTGATTGCCACGATGGCGACATTGCGAGTGTGTTTCCAGTCCATGTGCTCCTTCTGAGCGATGAGCTGGTGGACTAGGTCACCGCCGGCGAATAAGCATCCGTACAAAGTGACATTAGCCAGCCAAGGGAATCGCTTGGCGGCTTCTTTGAGTACAGCTCTCCTCATCGTCTTTGGCACCGACGGGGACGCAGGTGCCTACAGAATGACCTGCCCTGAGTGGTTTCACCTCAGCAGTCAGGATGCAGGCATACCGGTTGGATTCGTTTGGCTAGGCCCTAGTGCCAGCCTACTGGACGACAGGACGCAATCCATCAGTGCGCCGTAATCTGGGAGGGATTACACGTTTCCGCTGGCAGCAGGAATATCGCACATCATCAGATCTCAGATGAGAAATGCCCAAAAAACTCCCCGAAAAATGCAATGCATAAAACCTGCCATGGCTTCGCTTTGGTCACGGTAAATTTAAATCCAGATCATTCTTTCTACTTCCCGTGAATCAGGTGCGTCTCCAGCAACAAATCCTGCAGGTCAAGCGCTAATCTGCACAGGCGTACATCCCGTCCAACTGCGTCACCAACACAGCAGCACAATTAATTTAATTTGACCAGATTCCATTAAATGTAACATTTTACACGCCAAATATTTAACAAAATTACTCAGGAAATTTACATGTAATTAAATTATGTAAAAGTTAAGAGTTTGGGCAGAATCTTTCTGAGTGTACAGCCAGGTAAAGACTTCAAATACTATGGAGAAAAATGTAGATCTCTCATTCTGAGGGTCCTTAAATAGATTATCCTCTGTCTTTTCTTAAAGGCCTGTACAGCCTAAGGTTTTCCCTAATACTGCAACTAAATCAAATAAAACCAGGAGTTGTCTGGAAAGACATCACGAAAACTTGAATGATGGAAGGTTGTGATCCAAATGCCATATCCA